ACTTGATGAACAATTGAGTGCTTGGTTTGATTTCTCTCTGCTTCTCATCTTGTATCAGCAAAGAGAAGGCTTGGGCCAAATTAGGCAATGGATTCATCATCAGGATGCTTCCTCGAATCACAGTGTATGTCTCATTCAAACCCATAAGGAACTGAATTAGTCGCCTATCTTGTTCGGCTTGGTAAAGACTTTCCTTGGAACCACAAGTGCAATTGCAGCTGCACTAGGATCTCTTGCTCAAAGTACTCAATTCCTCCCAAAGCTTTTTCACTTTAGTGTAGTAGTTGGTGATGTCAAGGGTCCCCTGGGATGTATCATTGATTCCCTTCTGAATTTGATACAATCTGGCTCCATTTGTTTGCTCGTATCGATCTTCTAATTCAATCCATAACTCCACAGCATCATTCGCGTATTCAACACTATCCGCGATTTCTTTCGACAGAGAATTGAGAATCCAGGAGGTTACCATATCATCACATCGCTCCCACTGACGGAATTTGGGCGAGTGAGGATCTGGGCATTTACATTCACCATTTATGAACCCTAATTTATTTTTGACTGAGAGCCCTCGCAATACACTGCGCCTCCATGATCGATAGCCTACTCCGCTGAAAGGAGTTGATACAAGCATCGCACTAGGGTTATCCGACGGGTGTAGATATAGAGGATCACTAGTGTCGATTCCAGAATTTCCTTGAATTCCTACGTTCACTACTGTAGTATCAATCTCATTCAAATCGTCCACAGCCATGAGAAGTTGAAGCTAAAAATGATAGTATTTCACTATTGGAAGAAGAAGCCCTTTGATTAGGCACTCAAACTAGGGTAAAATCGAAGTGACGATGAATTGAGGAGAGTGATAGAACAAGAGAGACGATCGTAGCGGGATGGCCAGGCTCTGATACCATGTGAAATTCAGATGCTCACCTCACTCGAGCTCGGGGTGAGCTGCAATGGAGATCGGAGAAAATGCAGAGCTCCCATGAAGAGAGAGAAGAGAGAGAATGGAGAAGAATCTAGAATGGGCCAACCAACTTTTTCTTACAAATTGAGTATCAGTATATACAAAATGTCCTAACTAAAAGAATTAACAAAATAGCCTATCTAACAACAAATAACAAATTAGCTAACTAGCCACTTTACAAGTATGTAGTCACATTTACATAATTAGCCATCTTAACAGCTTCTTAATTTGACATGTTTGACTAAGTTTTTTTTGGGAAAAGTACTTTAGGGAAGAAGTTTTTGAGAATCATTAAAAAATAATTTCTCCCTAGAGGAGCAACTTGGCTCTTTTTTTTTTTTTTTTTTGTTTTACCAAAGATAGCCTTAGCAAAATATAGTATATAACAAAATAACCTTACTTATTTTAAACATAATACTTAGAATTTGAGATGATATTATTTGAGAACTCTCCTAATGTATAAGTATTTTATTTTTAGGATAACTTTCTAATATATAGTAACTTTTGTGGGAATGTTTTTATATTTGTTAAATAATTTTTTGATATATTTAAATCATCTTGAAGGAATTAAAGTACGTTTTCAATTTATTTTCATATATTACTTAAATAAAAAAACTTATTTATTGTCTTTAATAATAAATAATTGAGATTATTTATTTACTTATACAATATTAATTATTAATTAAATATTTTCATGTTCATATTTGTAATTTGATATTTAAAAGCACTTTTTAAAAAGCTTGGCCATACAAATTATTGCTCAAAAGTACTTTTCAGATTAACTAGTCAAATATAAACTGGATCTCTACAAAGATACTTTTTCGAAAAACACTTTAAAAAAAAATATTTTTCAAAATAAGCTGATTTTTCTAATTTAGCAAAACATGCTACTTAGAGGAGAAAATTAATGGGGCGAAAGCCTTTTCTTTGTACAATCTTGCACGCATCTTCATTTTCCTCTCACAACTAGTTCCACTGGACATGTGACTTGATACGTATATTCTTTTGTTTAAATTTTATTTTGTGCCTCACACGATTACATAGTAAAGTTTTTCTCTTTTTTCTTACAAAATCAATGTCACCCCACCATTTTATGTTAATATCATCCTCTATTTATTTATCAAATTAAATACTTTTTTCATTTATTTTTTTCCTTATCCCGTCCTGTCCCTACACAGTCCCAATTCCCCTCACCAAAACTTGCTGCCTGCCAACTCTCACTTATATAATAGTAGATTACAATTAGTTTATTCGCATATTTACGCAGATATTTTCCGACAATGTTTGAGAGTATTCGAGCAAGAGCCATAGTGATGGAGAGGCTTAGATAAATGATTGAAGAAGTACAGCCTTAAGCTTGTGCGTATCTTTTTGCACCTAACTAGAGTGACAATAATTCAGATGCGTATATTATTATTGTGTTGTTGTTGGGGGTTGGGGAGGGACCTTTTGCTTGTGCAATTAACATGATGATAAATTGTGTATGGATGGGAAGAGGGAGACAATGCTAGTCAATAGTCTAACATGGGACACTCTAAATTGATCTACTATACATTCCCATTTCCAAAAGCTACCTCCGTCAAGGGAACACACTCTAAATTGTTCTACAATTCCCATTTTAAATATATACCATTGAAAGAAAAAAGAATGGAAAAAAAAAAGAAATTTATGGGAAAGGAATGGTGCTAATTATTGGCCAGTAGAAGTAAGATAGCGAGCATTATTTTTGGTGTCATGTGTACTTTGATATTAAAATTATAATATTACAGTGCATTATTTCTTGTGATGTTAGTGGGTATAAATTGAAAAGAAAGTGATCATTATCGTTGGTGTACCCACTAAAGCTTAAATTTGTAGCCATTAACCCATGTTCTACAATTTTATTATCCCACAACTTTGTTATTTATTTTATTAAAAAAATTCTACAGTTATAAATTCTTCCTTGTAACAGGTATGGGAAAGGAAGGTACGAGAAAAGTGTTGGTAGTGTACATGAAAAAAGTGAGGTTAGTATAGTGAAAAAGAGAGTTGAAAGAAGGAGAAATTTTAAGTCTCCAACTTATCCTCTACAAAAGAGAAAATTATTTGGTTGATGAAAGGTGTTCATTTTGGTTTATTCAAATCATATAACGTCATCGGGTTGTCGTATCCTGAAGGGACAAGTCAAAAGTATTATTGCTAGACCAATAGAGATTTTACCGCAAGGGATCTCATTACAGAAAGCGAGATATCTACATCTCAACCACATTAGTTGCCGCATCAATCAACATAATAAGAATTTCATACACCAGTTTGTATTGAAAATAGAGACAGTTGTTCTCTCCAAATAAGGAGAGCAATAAGCTGAATTAGAAAAGGTCAGCTTTGAAAGAGCTTTAGATTTTTATTTTATTTTTAAATTAAAATGCTCCATCAAGAAATTTATGAAAAACAAGTTCGAATGGTTTTAGAATTTCTTGATCATTCCCAAAATAGTATTTCTGAAAAGCACTTCAGAAAAGCTTTATAGAAAAACTCCCGTAAAAATCAACCTAACACACCATCTTCTGACTTTCTGTAAATGTTTTGAAATTTCTTTTGTAGACTTTGCATAACAAGAAAATCAAACGGCGGATTAATCAGAAAAGTTCTGTTTTTACACAAATGAAACCATTGCCTTTTGCAGTCTAAATTATAATGGCAAAATACATAAGTTGTCACCTGAGCAATCGACCAAATTCCTAATACACACTTTCTGAAGGTGAAAATCATCTTACACACTCAACTTTTTAAAAGTGTGTCAAATACACACCTATTTTCAGCGGGATATAAGTGAAAAGTCTATCCGCGTAATGCATTAGCCCGTTTGCAATTATTAAACCCGACCCACTTGTTTTAATTTAACCCTTATATTTAATTTAACCCGACCCATCCGTCACTTTTCTTCCCCACGTCTCCTCCCCTCATCATCTCTACCATTCTTTCTTCTTCAATTAGGACCCCTAAATATCATGCTACTAGTAAGAGAATATCGGAATAATGGCTGAAAATTGACGCAGAGTTTTTGATTTGATACTTCGTGATGGGTCTCCTAAAGTTGGTGGTGCTTGGGCTAAAGAAGCTACTAGTCAGAATTCTTTAATTTCGTCATTGATTCTATTAAGCTTGCTTCTGATTTGGTAGAAATGTGCAATGATTCCTCCTCTAAAGCCCAACAGCCATGGCAGTTAGAACTCACACGAAAATACTCATCAAAAAAATTTTGACGACATACCCAAACTTTTCACCGGATGGAGTTTCAAGCGAAACTCCATTTCCGACCAGCAAAAGACGAAATAGAAGGGGGTTTTACTGAAAATCCATGGTGTTGGAAGCACGGGTAGAACTGTGAAAGACCAAGCATAGGAGGCAATATCTTGCTCAAACCTTCCGATTGGTCTAGCTTGCCGGAAGAGGGGTTAGGGTCGAAGGTATTAGTGTGTAAGTTTTTTGTCTTTTTCTTTTTGTATTTTGTGTAATGGTAAATACGGAAAAGGATAAAAAGAAAAACAATTATTTAGACCCTTAGATTAATTTATTCAAATCCACACCGTTCAAATAAAGCTGTAGATTCTCATTTTTCACCTCTTCACGCGCTCCTCTTGCGTGCAACTTACTTGGTCAAAAACAGTGTGGACCAAATAGTGTGTATGACAGGTTGAGTGTGTAAGATAATTTTCGTTGTCAGAAAATATGTAAGAAGGATTTGGTCCATAGTTCATAGTTCAAGTGGCAACTTATGTATTTTGCCAAATTATAATAGTACCTTCATCAAACAGTCTACTGTATAGACCCCTGAGATATGTAAAAGATGAACAGAAAAACTCATCTTACCAAGTTGATAAGCTATAAAAGAACAAGCGCAAGCAGCCTCATGCAGAGAGGGTAAACCAAGTGACATTTTATAGTCAAATCATCGACCATTTTTGCAGGTAGCTGTAACTGGTTTTTAGTGAGCAATCATCCAGTTCTCGGTCCTTATGTAAAGCCAAATGCAAGAGATGCACGAAGACCTTCGTGTATGAAAACATCATATATTGCATACCCTTTATTTAGCTAACCATGTAAACTTACTGCAGACCAGTGCTGTTCAAAATTATACATAGTAGTGTCACCACATGAAGCTCTAAAGCTTAACAAGAAAGCTAATACCAGTTCTTTGACTTGATAATCAAGAACTGAATTCAGTGCACAACAGAATACTGTGACAATAGAGATAAAACATAACAGGTTTTATCTATTACATGAATATACACACTAATGAACAAACAACTAGGCAATGATTTCAAAAAAGTTACGACCTTCTCCGAGATTGAGTTATCTTCTACTTTGCCTCTTCAAATGTATCTTCATATTGCTGAAGAATGATAATCATAATTCAAACTCGTCTTCAAGCTTGAGTGCCTCAGAAGCAGCTTCTTCCTCCTCGTCATCAATTGCGAAATATGGATTGTGCGCCTTAGGCCTGAAGTTATACCCCGTAAAGACATAGAAAGCAAGTGTTGCCGCTTCAGCAGCCACCACACTAGTCCACTGATACCGATAAGAGGTAATGGTCTCCAGAGCATAAACCACAACCCTCGTGAAGTATATGTAACATATCACAATAACATAGTACTGTCTGAATAATGTCAACTTCATCAAATTCACAGCCGCTTTACCATCAGTCTTAGCTGCCTCCCGCAAGTTCTTAATAGACCACACGATAGGAAACAATACAGCACAACAACACACAATATCAACAAGCAAGAAAACCTGCTTCCATGTGTATGAATTTTCACTAAAAGGACCAGTTTCATCAATCACAACCTGTGCAAGATTGGCCACAACTTGCAGGGGAATAACAATCATCAAAACGTTCTTTTCCTTATCTTGCAAATAAGGCTTCAAAAATGACCAACCAGTTCCAATCAAAACTATCAAAGTAAACAGCGTAATACCCTTCAAGAAACTAAATATATAGAACAAAACATCCCACCCATGAGCTGTACCAGTTTTCTTAATATACGATTTATCCTCAGCTTCACACACCAAGTTCAATGCTTTCAACATCACAACAGCAAGCATAAAGAAATGAATTCCATAAACAGATAGGCGTTTTTTGTAAAGGGTAAGAACCCAAAATACCCCCATTAACACATAGACTATAAAAAACAAGAAATAAATCATTGGAAGAGCAGTCTTGCCTGCTGACAGAAAATCAAGCTGCCCATTTTTCGGGTTGAAATTGTACATAACGGAGTGAACATTCATTGAAATTACCAAATTGGGCATGCAATTAGCAAAAACAAGAGTGAATTGATTGGCATCCGAGACAGTGAAAGAAGTTGTGAATTGACGAGCAGAGGGCTGCAACTGGTCAAAAGTGAAAACCCTTTTAACGAGATTCGAATGGAGAGTACATTGAATTTCACCATCCTGGAGTTGTTCAAGAACGTGTTGCCAAGCTTCATTGGTGACGAGGAAGAAACCCAATTCGGAGGGAACGGGTTCGGGTCCGGATTTCGGGTTGGAAAAGGAGATGTCGGTGACGGTGAGGTTGAGACGGCCGAAATGGGTGAACCCAAATTCGTCAAAGGGTATGGTGGGACGAGAATCGGATCGGATCTGAGTGGATCTGATCTCTGCAAAGACAGTGGCAATTAAGACAGCAAAGACTACAGAGAAAAGGGAAGATTTGTACAGAGCAGCCATGTTTTTTTAAGTACGAGAGAAATGTTTTGGAGTTGAGTTTGGGGTTTTTTAGATTGTAAGAATTGAGAAAAAGTTGATGAAGGGGAAATGTCAGCTGAAGTGTAAGCTTTGCTTGCTGGTTAAGATGGTTGACTGAGAGAGAAGGATCATCGACTTTTCTGAGTATTTGAGGTATTAAATTCTAGATCCATGTTTTGGACTTCGTAACGTGTACGTTCTCTTTCTAAATTAACTTCTAAAGCTTAATTAGACTTCACAAGTCAAGTGTTAATCCAACGAGTTGGGCCAAAATCTTTGGTTTGGGCTAAAACATAATGGACTGGGCCAGAATAAGTCACTGTCAGTTTTGGGGTATTATCCCATTGGGATTTTTACCTATTTATACTATAATCGAAACCTATTTACTACATTTATTTAGGTTCCTTAATAATTACTTTATATACCTATATTTACTAGTTTTATACAAAACCATAGAAAGGAAGAAATGAAACATACCTTAAATACTGGGTATCAGTTACACATAATCCCCTACATTTAAGATACTCTTCCTTTTTCAAAGGATTACAAAACATCATCTGTCTTTGTACTTACCCACAGTAAGAAACCCACTGATACCCAAAATCATCACCTCTCTTTCATACAAATCAATCAATCTCTCTCTCTCTCTCTCCCCCCTCATGCAAATCAAACTATTATCTCTCTAAAATTGTAGCGTCATATATTTCTCTGAATCAATTCCACCAACAACCATTAAAAAGCTTCAACTATTGACAAATCCATCAACATTATCTCTAAGATTATAGGTGGAGGGGCCATTGACATACCATTAAAAAGCTTCGAAGCTTTGAATTAGATATTAAGATTTTACGAATTTGTGATTTTTTTGGATTGGGTGTTCTTGAAAATGATTAAAAATATCCTTTAGAGTTTATATCTCAATTTTAAGGGAGATTCGTTAAGTTTAAAGTTGGTTTTAGGCTGAATTTCTTAATGAAACTCGAGGAAGAAGAAGTTTCGGAATTGTATTACGATTGTATGGTAAATGTATCATAATTGTATCTGAGTTGTATTTGATACGTCAATACCTAAGAAAATTTTGATACAATACTAATACTATTAAAATACAATATTGTATCATAATTTAAGTTTAGAGTTGGTTCTAGGTGGATGTTTTAAATTAAAACTTGAAAAAGTTGAAGATCAAAGTTGTATCATAATTGTATCGCAATATGTGCCTAAAAAGATATATGATACAATGCTAACACAAATATAATACGATATTTTATTAGTTTAAGTTTAGAATCGATTTTAAGTTGTATCATAATTGTATCATAATTGTGTAAGAATACTTTCGGAATTGTATCAAATTTGTATCTGAATAATGAGTAGTTGTGAGTTCATGACGAATTTCACAGTTAATATCACAAATATATGATAATTATATATTAATTGATTAGTATTGTATGAGGTATTATTTTGGATATTAATGTACCATCTACAAGTTAGATACAATTGTGATACAATTATGATACAATTATGTTTTACGCATTGATATATCTGATGCAATTCAAATGCAATTATGATACAATTATCATACGATCCCTGAATATTTTTTCATTTTCAGTGTTGTCCGGTCTCCCAACAAAAGAACGATGCAATTGATGATTTAATAATATAAAGTTGTCGCCAATGGTGGGAAGAGAGAAGATGGAGATTCTGGGTGTAGATTAAGGGATCTTGATGTAAAAAAAAGGACAAAGAAGAGGAAGGGAAAAAGCAAAGGATATAATTGAATCTCTTAATTGAGGCACTAATAATGAGATGAAAGCCTTTTAAGGAGAAATCTACACAATTTGTAAGAAAAACCTAGACACTTATTAAAAACTACAGAACATAGAGAATATTGGTAAATAAGTTTCTAATATAGTATAGCTAGGTAAAAATCCATATCCCATTTTATTTTGAGATTTTTAGCCCGCACCAGAAACTGTTTACATCTGATGGCCGAAAAAGTGTATCAAACCTGTATAATTTTTGTATATAACATACATAATGTATGTATGTATGTATATATATATATATATATATATATATATATATATATATATATATATANTATATATATAAAATATAAATTTTATATATTTTTTTGGCTATTATTTTTACAGCGACTATACAATGTCATTTTTTCGTAAGTTTTTCCCTAGCCTTCTCAATGCTCTTACCATCTTAAGTCTAATTATTGTACTACAACTTTGAATGAAGGACGACCTGAGCTGTTGTTTGATTTTGAAAGTTCTCAGTGTTAAGAGTACAACATGACAACTGTATTTATTCATAGTTAGTTAGTTGAGTTCATAGTTAGTTAGTAGTAAGGGCATTTTTGTAATTGGCTAATGGTAGCTATTATATTTTCTTATACGTGTATATATAGGATATGATATAGAAATTGGATCAGATTTTTTTCCCCCAAAATATCATTCTTCTAGAAGTCTCCGTTGTTCTCTCTTTTCTTTCTCGTCTGAGCTCAACTGCCATAACAATGGCAGCTTGTGCTCATATCTGATTTCTCAATCTTAACATGGTATCAGAGCTAAGGCTCATAGATTACTCAATTCTCGTTTAGTCTCGTCATTTTCATCATCAATCTATGTTCGATTTGCAGTCACAAGTCGAAGATCATGAAACCCTATTTTTCACCACAGTCCACAAATTTGTGAATTAATTCACCCTATATGATGGCGGTAGATGGTGATACCTCGAATCCAACTGATTCACCTAATGTAAACAAGGATATGTTAGATTCGACCAGTCCTCTATACATGCATCCTTCAGAAAGTGCTGGGTCGACACTGGTGTCGGTAGTATTTGACGGAACTAGCTAATGATCTTGGAGAAGAGGCGTCCTCAGAGCTCTCTCAGTGAAGAATAAAGTTGGCTTCATCACTGGAAAGTGTAAGAAGCTAGATCCCGATCTTCCGACGTTTGAACAGTGGGAAAGATGCAACGATATGGTAACATCGTGGATTCTCAACTCACTTTCAAAGGATTTAGCAGATAGCTTACAATATGTGGTCGATGCAAAAGAATTATGGCAGGAACTGGAGGATAGGTACGATCAGACGAATGGAGCAAAATTATACCAGCTTGAAAGGGAAATCAATGACCTAAGTCAGGGAACCCTAGACATTACAGGATATTATACAAAAATGAAGAAGCTTTGGGAAGAATTAAACACTTTAAATGCACATGCTCAATGTTAATGTACTTGTGGTGCCGAGGCAAATATACACAAGGCGGAACAGGACAGGAGGCTAATTAGGTTTTTAATGGGATTGAACGAGGTTTACACAGTTATAAGAGGGAGCATTTTGATGATGAATCCGTTGCCCAGCATTGCACAAGCATTTTCCATCCTAATCCAAGAAGAAAAGCAAAGAGAAGTTAGGCCAAGCAACCATTTGATGATAGAGTCTGCTTCAATGATGTCAAGGGCCCTGCTAATCCAGTCTTTAGGACAAACTATGCTCAGCAGAGAAATAACACAGGAAACAACTCATACAGTGTGACGACCCAAAGGGTCATCACCTGTTTTCTCACTCATTCTGTGTCTACGAGGCCTTGAAAACCTCATTTAGGCTTGCCTCGATTTGCTTGCGCAGTCCGGGCGCGTAGCCGGAAAGCTTAAATATGAATTCTGTGTGAAAAATGCTAAATTTTGATATTAATATGGTTAAAGTTGACTTTGGCCAAAATTTTGGGTAAACGGACCCGGACCCGTGATTTGACGGTCCCGGAGAGTCCGTAGAAAAATATGGGACTTGGGCATATGCCCTGAATCGAATTCCGAGATCCCAAGCCCGAGAAATGAATTTTTGTGTGAAATTGTTTTCTGAAATTAATTAAGGAAAATGGAAAGGAAATTTGATCAGAAGACAATGGTATCGGGCTCGTATTTTGGTTCCGACGCCCGGTACAAGTCTTATATGTGATTTAAGCGCTTTCTGTAAAGTTTGGTTGAAAACGGAAGTCATTTGACGTGTTTCGGACTTAAAAATGGAAAATTTGTGTTTTATGAAAAGTTGGAAGAAATCATGTGATTTGAGGCTTGATTCTACGTATATGATGTTATTTTGGCGATTTGATCGCACGAGTAAGTCCGTAGGATATTTTTGAGGTTGTGTGCATATTTGGTTTGGAGCCCCGAGGGCTCGGGTGAGTTTTGGATAGGTGTCGAGTTGCATTTTGAGCCTTTAAAAATCTGATATCCTTCAGTGCTGCAGGATTCGCATTTGCGAAGCCTGGGTTCGCAAATGCGAAGTCCCAGCTATCGCAAATGCGAAGGCTGGTTCGCAAATGCGAAACCAGCCTAGGAAGGCCAAGGTTCGCAAATGCGAAGCCAGACCTCGCAAATGCGATGGTCACTGGTTCGCAAATGCGAGACCAGTTCCGCAAATGCGATGGTCCCTTGGTAGACAAGAGTTCGCAAATGCGAACTTAAATGTCGCAATTCCCAAGCCTGCTGGATTCGCAATTGCGAACCTATGTTCGCATTTCCCATATCTGAGGCCTGCAATTTTTCATACTTAGACGAATTCTCAACCCATTTCTTCGTTCTTTCAAACTCAAACACTCCATAGGCGATTTTTCAAGAAACTTATCTTCTCCAAATCATTTGTAAAAGTCAATTTTTACTTAACTTCTTCAATCTTTAACATCATTAAACATGTTTTCATCTTAAAATCAAGGATTTTCATGGGTGAAAAAGGGGATTTTGGGTAGAACCTAGGTTTTCTTAAAATTGGGGATTTGGACCTCAAATTGAGGTCCGATTTCAAAACAAATTATAGATATGAACTCGTGGGGAATGGGTAATCGGGTTTTGGTTTGAACCTCGGGTTT